TCCAAGGGTAATTGATCTGCATATATTTAATTAGTGACTTTGAGATTTTCAGGGAGCCACCTCATCATGACTCAGCTTTTCCCAGGCAGAGCTGGACAGCCAATGCCCTAGCAGCTTGATTCCACTTTTCTCTAGCAAGTAAAATCAATACTCGAGGTCAGGATGCTGTGTGTGGTTCCCTTTATGCCCCAACAAATATTATTTTCTTTCTTTTTTTCTAAAGATTATTTGAAACTTTTTTTTGAGTCAGAGTCTCACTCTGTCACCCAGGATAGAGTGCAGTGGCATAGTCATGGCCACTGCAACTTCGATCTGCTGGGCTCAGGCAATCCTTCTGCCTCAGTTTTCCAAGTGGCTGGGACTACAGGCACACAACACTACACCTGGCTAATTTTTTTATTGATTGTAGAGACGAGGTCTTGCCAAGTTGCCTGGGCTGGTCTTGAATCCCTGGGCTCAGGCAATCCTTTCGTCTTCACCTCCCAAAGTGCTGGAATTACAGGAGTGAGCCACTATACCCGGCTGAAACTTCATTTTAAAAACATAAAGCTCTTCAGATTTTCTATTTCTTCATCAGTGAGCTTAGTGCTTTTTCAAAAAACTTTTAATATCTCCTCTCAGTTGTTAGTTCAGTGATTTGATGTTGTTCATAATACTGCCCTTATTATCCTTTTATTGTTTGTAGTGATGCCACCTGTCTAATTCCTGATATAGTGGTGATTTATGTCTTTCATATTTCCCCCTGATCTGTCTCACTAGGTTTTATTGATTTTTCTAAAGAAACCAGCTTTGGGTTTCATTGATTTTTCTCTGTTTTTCTCTTTCGGATATAATTTCTGTTCTGATTTTTTTTTTTCTACTCATTTTGGGTTTCATTCTTTCTTATTCTGATTTCTTACTGTGGAAGCTGAGGTCATTGATTTGAGATGGTCCTTTTCTTTTCTTTTCTTTTTGAGTCAGAGTCTCACTCTGTCGCCCAGGCTGGAATGCAGAGGCACGCTTATGGCCACTGCAGCCTTGACATACTGGGCTCAGGCAATTCTTCTGCCTCAGCCTTCCAAGTAGCTGGAACTACAGGCGCATGCTACCATGCCCGGCTTATTTTTTGACTTATTGTAGAGATGAGGTTTCACCAAGTTGCCCAGACTGGTCTCAAACTCCTGGGCTCAGGCAATCCTCTCTCCTCACCCTCCCACAATGCTGGGATTACAGGCTTGAGCCACCACGCAGGCTGAGATAGTCCTTTTCTAATGTATGTGTTAAGTGGTATAAATTTCCCTCTAAGTACTACTTTTGCAGCATCCCACGTTGTGTTGTGTTTTCTGTTTCATTTGGTTTAACATGCATACTTTCTAATTTACCTTTTGATGTCCTTTTGACCAATGATGCTCAAAAGTATTTTTTTTTAAATTTCTAACTATTTGGGGATTTTCTAGCTATCTTGCTATTGATTTCTAATTTAATTCCATTGTATGAATGAACTTAGTATTGAAAGCTGGAGGAAAGGTATGTGTGAAGACATATGCAGCCCAGTTAGGACAGTGACAATTTGGTAAGTTATATTAAGTAAAGAGACTTCAAGATAAAGTTCTACAAAGAAACTTACTGATAATAGCAAGAAGCAGTAAAAGCTAATTAGCCAGCTGTAAAACATTTACTGTTAGCTCCACAGTAACAAAAAGAAGTTAACCATTCACTGCTAGTTCCACAGTAAACAAAAAGCAGTTAACTATTGTTGTTAATTAACCTTATCTTAAAGAAACAAAACACCACAACCAATCAGTCACTTCACAAACCTCTGGAAATTTCCTCTTGCAGACCTCCCCCAAAGACAATTCCCTGGCTCACACAGGACCCCTGTATAGTCTTATAAATCTATCTAGCCTCTGCATCTTGGCAGACTCTCTGCTGCCTCTGTGTATTGTGCCCTTCACAGTGTATCTTCCCTTTAATAAATCTACCTTTCTTAATTCACAACTATCTTGGTAAATTCCTCTTACCATCTTGTGACTCTGGCCACACTAAGCCCAGCACACACGGCAGCATGAATGCATGCTTTTATGCAATGTAATCTCAGAAAAGTAAAATTTGGTAACAGAGGTAAAAGGAATAATTGTAAGAATAAAACGCTTGGGAATGAAATAGTGAATGGATCCAGGACTTAGGTGGGGGCATGGCCCAGGAAGCAGCACACCTCTTCTTGTAAGGGAAGGGGAGGCAGTACGTGTGGGTTTAGCTGCCCATGTGGTGAGTAGCTCTTTTCAAGAGCATCTATTTCTCTTTGACAGGCCACAGATTGGAGTTCATCATAGGGGGGTTAGTCTGGGAGATATAAGGAAAGAGTAGCCATTTAGCAGAGTAGGAAGTAAATTTATCAGGGAAAAAGGTAGCATTGGCTAGAATTAGTGGTCCATTTGGGTTGGGGTTCTAACATGAATGAGCACAGCCAGCTTCCTGTTTCCTTTCTCCTCAGTGCTCTCTAGCTGCCAATGCAGTGTGAACGAGGGTTGGTGTTTTGCCAGACTCATACAAGAGTGAAGGGCATTTGTAAGAGAGGAGTTACAGTATTGGGATGCGGCCCTATTCAGTCTTTGAGATAGTTTGTATCTCTTTCTAAATTCCATATAATTGATAGAGATGCAAATACTGTCCTGTCTAGTGGTGATTTGACTTCCTCCTCACTGTGGAAATTGTCTTCATTTACAATTCAGCTCAACATTTGTTTATTCCATATACAAGTAAATCTGTGCTCTTTTAGCTTTTTCTTTGAGCCAGTTATAACATCTACCTGGTTCCCTCATATGATATGAGTTAAATTTATTTGAAAATAAGTTCCCAAGCATAAGGCAGACATCTTTAGCAATACAGGTAGGACCACTTGTGTACCTCACTCCTCCCACCCCAGAGGTTAGCAGGTACTTGAAGTTGGAATGATGCTTTACTTGAGTAGGAGTCTCACTCTGTCGCCCAGGCTGGAGTGCAGTGGCACGCTCACAGCCACCGCAGCCTTGACCTGCTGGAAGATGATCCTTCTTCCTCAGCTTTCCAAGTAGCTGGAACCATAGGCATGCATCACCATGCCTAGCTAATTTTCTGATTTATTGTATAAGACGAGTTTTCACCAAGTTGCCCAGGCTGGTTTCAAACTCCTGGACTCAGGCAATCCTCTTGCCTCTGCCTCCCAAAGTGCTGGGATTACAGGCATGAGCCACCACGCCCAATGACGCTTTATTTAAATCTTAACCCTTTTCTGTTTAGAAAAAAAAGTGCAGCTCGCTGCCACGTTCACTTAATCTTACACACATGTTCTTTGAAGCTGAAGCAAATCTGATTGGTTTTCAAGGTGAAATAAAATATAAAAACTGTTCTTGGAGATACGTCTAGGAAGAACTTGTCTCTAGTCCTGTTGATAATTACAAAAAGAATTACCATAGTTTTTGTAATTTTTTTAAATCTTGGGGTATACACTGCAGCCACAAGCACAGTCAGAATATCCTGGGGTAAACGGGAAAAGGGTTAAACAAGCCAGGTGTTATTTTTAAGGTATTAAGGGGAAAATACCTTTCCAAATGAAGAATACACTTTCAAACTAGCACAAGATACTAGTCTTGACCTGGATATTGTTGTTCTTCTGGTGTCTGTTTACCAAAACAGAATAACTAGAAGGAAATGAACAGCCTTACTGAATGGCAAAACGTGTGAAGCAAACCTCATTTTAAACATAAGGGCCCTAATCTTGTTTTCATGGGTGATCATCTTTCATTTTTCTAAGCTTGAATGTCACACTGGCGCAGAGTGAGCGATCATGACAGTAGTGGCCTTGTACAACGTATAGTGATTCTGTGGATTAGAGATAATGGCATGGCCATTTACTGATGCTAATGGAAGGAGCCCAGCTGGGTGTTGGCCAGTCAGGCCCACTTACAGGAACTAATGGCAGCAGGGGCTGGTTTCAACACTGGATCTCAATACACATAATCCTATGAATGTTATCCCCATTTGACCATTGAGGAAACCGAGACAGCAAGATGCAGTAATTTTGTCTATGGTCAATGTGCTAAGTGGGCAGAACCAGAAATTTCTCCTCATGTTTCAAAAGATTTCAGCAAACAGAAAAGTTGAAAGAATAGCATAATAGACGCTCATACATCCACCACGGCTGGGGAACTGTGAAAACGGTTATATTTGACTCATCTATTCATCTCTCTGTATATAATTTGTTGAAACATATTAATGTTGTAGACCTCATGACATTTCATCCAAATGTAACATATTCCCATAGAGGAGACTGAACATTTCTCTTGTCTGAGTCTCTTATGGTTCATTGCTTCATACTGGCACATTTCACACATTGAAATTGGTTGTTTTTTCCCCAATGACCTTAGTTTTTTTTTTTTTTTTTAAGTCGGAGTCTCACTCTGTCATCTAGACTGGAGTGCAGTGGCACTATCACAACTCACTGCAGTCTTGCCTTCCTGGGATCCAGTGATCTTTCTGCCTCAGCCTCTCAAGTAGCTGGGACTACAGTTCAACATCACCATGCCCAGTTATTCTTTTTCTATTCTTTGTAGAGACAAGGTCTTGCTATGTTGCCTAGGTTGGTCTTAAAATCTGGGCTCAATCCTTCCACTTCGGCCTCCCCATGTGCTGGGATACATGTGTGAGCCACTGTGTCCGGCCTGACTTTGGCTTCTAAAGAGACCAAGTCACCAGCCTTTTCCTCTGTGGTATTGCCTATGGCTTCCTAGAGGTTGGTACACTAAAGCCCAATGAGCTTTGTTCTTTTATTTACATCTTGGCTCTGCTTTCATGTTATACAATGGCAGGCTGGAGAAGTGACAGATATGTGGCTCACAAAGTCCAAAGTACTTTTTGTCTTGTTCTTTTTTTCATTTTCTGGGTTTGCTCACTCCTGAATTGTACTATCCCTTCCCTTGACCTTGTATGTTGACTGTACTTCTGAGACAAAGCTGGAGGCGTGTAAATAATTTATACAAATGGACATTCAGAAAGAACTATTTATTCATCTATTGATTTTCATTCATTAGTTTTGACAATTACACATTGCCTTTCCCTACGTGAGAGTAAATCACAAAAGACTTCACAGAATTAGCAGTCAACTGAAGAAGTAGCCTACTCAATCAGTAGTATGTTAGTAATGAGTACTTGATGGGGATGTTTCAATTTTTAGGGGGAAGGATAGGGATATTTTTGACATTGTGAATGTCCTTTGGGTCAAGACAGGGTACAAAACAAGGCCATGGGTGAAGCGTTAACTCCAGCTCACCACTGTTCAACCTTCTTCTCTGAAACAAACTGTCCGTGAGGTCCCTCAGCATTTGGGGGCAAAAGGGCCAAGTACACAGGGGTTTCTGCTCCTTCTTCTGGGCTCTTGGTGGCCTTGGGTCCTGCCATGTCGGTTCTCACCCACCCTGGGCAGCAGGCATTTAGGAGGATCTTGTCCCCTTTCCTCTCCTCGCTCAGTTTCCGGGCATGGATTCTGGACAGGACTGTGACTCCGATCTTCGTCACCCCATATGCGGTATTGGGCCACCCCTCTTTCTGGTGCACTCCATTCTTCGTATCCTCCACAAACTTGTTCATGAGCCCTACCAGCTCCTCCTCCGTGATGGTCTCACTGCGGAACTTCTGCTGCAGATTGGGGCTGCAGCTTTTAAGGGCCCTGAGGCTCACTGTGCTCGACACGTTCACCACTCTGCCTAAAATACACCACAAATCATTATGCACTAAGGCAAAGTGGAGCCCAAAGGGAGGCCCAAACCTTACCTGTACAATGACCACTTGAATACCTAATCCTGAATTGTGTCCCACATTTAAAAAAAAAAGGTGTGCACTAAAATGGTGAAGGCCAAGTTTGCTAGGATTTTGAACCAGAAAACTGTCATTTAAGAGACAGCTACCAGTGAGAGTTCCAAGAGGAATACACATAGAAGGTGTGGTATTTGCATAAAGAATTCCATTTCTAACTGGCTTAATAGAGGAGTCAGGTGACATTTAAAAGAGCTGCCCTTTGAGGTCCTAGTGAACTGGAGTCTTAGAAGCAGTACAACTTTCCAGGACGACAGGATGAGGAAACAGGACAGGACTTGAGAATAAACTGTACATCCAAGAACTCAACTCTAAGCCTTACATTTTAAACTTTCTAAAAGTAACTGCTTTTCTTAACTGCTGTGTACTTAATGGGTGGGTTCATATTCCTGTCTCATTACTTGGGAGCATTATAACTATTTATGGTCAGATAAATAGGATAGTCATGTCCAGAACATTGAGCAAGTTGAAGGGGAGTTAAAACAAGCAGAAGTTAGGCAGTGGCAGGTTATGGCCATCCCTATGAACCTTGTGAAAGGCTTTGCTCCAAAAGGGTTTTTGGGAGGGGTGTGACCACTCTGACAGTATGCAGGATGCTGGGAAACGAAAAGACACAGGATGGGAGATTCCTTAGGAAGATTTGTAGTTGTCCAGAATGACAGCTGAATGCCTGTTTTAGAGGTGGGATGAGATGGTAGCTTCAGGAGAAACTAAGTAGGTACAACTTCTAGGACCTTTTTAAGTGACACAAAGAGGGTGGGACATGGTTGCAGGATCCTGGTGGGGTCAGTATCCAGGATGATTTAGGGAGAAGGATGAACATCCTCTGGAAGTGTCTGTTTTAGACTAGGGGGAAGGCATTGGAAGGAGATGGAGAGGCAGGAAGACAATTATGTGTCAGGAGCTCTGGAAGTATTCTAGGTAGGTGTAGCTTCTAAAAGGGCCTAATGAATTGGTGGTAGTGAAGGCCTGAATAGAATCACTCTGAAAGGGCTGAGAAAGGCACTGGATTGGCCGGGAGTGGTGGCTCAAGCCTGTCATCCCAGTACTTTGGGATGTCAAGGTGAGAGGACTGTCTGAACCCAGGGGTTCGAGACTAGCCTGGGCAACTTGGTGAGACCTCATTTATACCAAAAAAAAAGAGAAAAGACACTGGATGGAATCTTACAGGACTCCAAGGTATGAGGGGAATGGAGCAAATAAAGAGGCTCTCTGAGCAGACATCTGAGCTAAGGATAAGAAAAAGCCAGGTGTGCAAAAACTGTCTCTGTCTCCACCCTACCAAATCAAGGAGGCTGGTACACTGGCAGCACAGAGAGTGTGCACTAAAGACAGGGTGTGCTGTTTCCCATCAGACTCACCTTGGGGTTTTATTAGAGGCAGTAACTCTGTGCAGACATCTCGGGTACCAAAAAAGTTTGTTTTCATCGTTACTTCTGCTTGAATATGAAAGGGTGTGGGATCAGCAGCTTTTTGGAGAGAAAGAGAACAGAGTTAATGAACTATACCCATGGGCTAAAATTCCATAGAGTGGTAAAAACAAACAAACAAAAAACAGTGGCTGTGAATTTTTGTGAATTCCATCTAAAGTCTCCATCTAGTTGCAGTATTGTGCCAATGTCAATCTCCTGGTTTGATAATGTTCTATATAGTATTTTTGTAACATGGTACCTTTGGGGGAGGGTGGGCAAAGGGTACACACATCAGACCTTGGTGTAACCATTTCTTACAATTTCTTGTTAATTTCAAAATCGGAAGTTCTAAAGCCCTAAAGCCCAGTCTCAGAAAAACTGAAGAAAACCTGGAAAAGATCCCCAAGAGTCCGAGTTAGAGGGCTGAAAGCCCTCCCACTCTCTAAGGATTCTGGTCTCCCAGCAGCTCCCAGTCCCTCCTTCTTCCCCCTAGAGAGCCTGTTCCGGGTCCCCAGCACAGCGCTTCTCTGACCCTGGCAGGAGGATCTGGGGAGCCACTTCCCCTCTGAGCATCCCAACCCCTTACTTTTGAAGGCGATGCCCGCGTTGTTGACCAGCACGTCGAGGCCCCCGTACTCCCTGAGCAGGAACTCGCGCAGGGCGCGGATGCTCTGCAGGTCGTCGATGTCCAGCTGGTGGAAGCGCGGGCTCAGGCCCTCCGCCTGCAGCTGCTGCACGGCCGCCTGGCCCCGCGCCACGTCCCGCGCCGTGAGCACCACGTCCCCCGAGAACTGCCGGCACAGGTCGCGCGCGATGGCGAGGCCGATGCCCTTGTTGGCCCCGGTCACCAGCGCCACGCGGCTGCAGGACGACATGGCTGAGCCGGGCGCGCGGCGCACCTGGCGCGGAGAGCGGACCCTGCTGCGGACCACCCCCGGCGCGCACCGCGGAGGCGGGCGGGAGTCAGAGCAGTCGCGCAGAACCGAGTCCTGGGATCCAGCGCTGCCAGTCCACAGAACAAGGCACCCGGCCTCGGTCCCTCCCCTCCGAAGAGGGGCAGTCTGTTCCCGAAGATTTCGTAACGCCCCAACTCCCGGGTCCGCCCCCTGCCGGCGCTGCGCCCTTTTTGGCTCCGGGCTCCGAGCCAAGGGTGATCTGCGAGATGTGCTTCCCCCAAAGCCAGACCGAACGGTGATGGGCCA